AGGTCTGGCGCCCTATGAGACGGTAAACACATGCAGCCATTTTCGAAATTCTAACTAAAAGTAGAAACTCATTTTTTAATCGACGTCTTCCGTGGCGTTGCCGTCCTGACTGCTTAAAGTCCCTATCGTGTTGTGTTCTTAGGCAAGACACTTTACTCTCACAGTGCCTCTCTTCACCCAGGTGTATAAATGGGTACCGGCAATTTAATGCTGGGGGTAACCCTGCGATGGACTAGCATCCCATCCAGGGGGGAGTAGAAATACTCCTAGTCGCTTCATGCTACAGTAACCGGAGTTAAGCACCGGCCTAAGGGGCCACTAGGCTCGTAAACAGACTTTACTTTTACTTTACTTATTGCTGAGTATATTTACTCTTTGAACTTTGACTCAACCAACGGACTCATCCAAATACGGCTCAACTCGTACTTACACTCAGCAATACTACACATGACAAGAGATATCTACCCAATGGCAGAGAATCCCAAAAGTGCCCGACATCCTAACGTAGCACTCGGGTAAACTGGAATCCTTAAAGAGCTCGAAATCCCAACGTAATGAAAGAGAAACCTTAGAGTGGACGAGATACATACGAAACAATCGAATGAGAGAAGATTCTAAAAGTGCGCGAGGTACTAACGTAACGGTCCAATGAAAGAGAATCCTGAAAGTGCACCACGTATTAACCTAACAAGTCAATGAAAGGGAATTCTACAAAAGCCCGAGATATTAAAGTAACAATCGAATGAAAGAGATTCCTAATAATTGGGTGAGATATTAATGTAATAATTGGATGAAGGAAAATCCTAAAAATTATGAGATATCAAAGTAATAATCGAATAAAAGAGAATTCTCAGATTGCGCGGAATACTGAATTGAAGTAACAATCGAATGAAAGAAAATCCTAAACGTGCGCGGGATACTAACTTAACAATCCATTTAAAGAGAATCCTAATAGTGCGCGAAAGACATGCATAACAGTCAAATACGAATGTAGGTTCATCCTAAAATGCAGGAGACATTCATGAAACTTTCGAATGAAGGAGTACCCTAAAACTGTGCGAGCTACTAACTTAAACTTAACAATCCAAAGAAGAAGAATCGTTCATCTGCGAGAGAGACTAGCGTCACAATCGGATGTAGAATAATCCTTAAAGAGAATGCTAAAAGTACGCGAGACACTAACAGCCAATAGGAGAGAATCCCCGCTAAAAGTGCGCATGACACTAACGTAACAACTTAATGAAGGTGTTCTCCTAAGAGTGCGTGAGAGAGAGTACGTAACAAATGAATAAAAGGGAATCCTAATTTCGAATGAAAGAGTATCTTAACCTATTGACGTCCAGTGCGCCCGTATGCGCCCATGTGGACCCACACCCTTTCTACGCCTTGTGACGTCATCACTTTTAATTTTCCATGTACCTCTGAGCTTATTTTTGCAAAATATGTCAGGAATAAAAGGAACTAACCGCGAAGCTAGGCCTTTATAGATTATGCTAGTAAAAGTAGCATATTATGATTGCATTTTTTTTGCGAAATTATGCTAAAATTATGCTCTTTTTTCCAAATTATGCCCCTTTTTTAAAATTATGCTCTTTGAAAAAATTGCAAATTAGTCCAAAAAATACATTTTTTAATTAGAAGCCGTTAGTCTTCAAGAAATAAACGCAACAAATCCACAATGAAATTGAAATAAACATGTGGTTCAGTGTTAACATGCACACTAGTACTAGACTATGCTCTCATGTAGCTAAGCTGCGATTGCGCCATTTTGTAATTTTTAGCCTTGCCTGATGAGAGGTACTGGGACCAACATGGCCTACAATGTGACTTCTGGTTCCGGTGCACCCCAAACCCGGGCTCAGACCGTTTTAGACGCCGCTCAGTGATTCACAGTGAACTACAAATGCTACTACTTAAACTGAAACTTAAAACATCGAACAACGTCACCAAGTGCTTGGGAGTAGAGATGAACAAAGATCAATTTTTAGCATCAAAAATGATCCGATAATTATCAAAATATGCGAATTATGCTAGCATTGCTACTTGGCAGAAATTATGCCAGTTTGCTCAAATTATGCCAAAAATTATGTTAGCATAATCTATAAAGGCCTACGCGAAGCTCGCGGCTTTGTGAATTCCAAACGTAGGCGAGATACTTACGTAACAACTCAATAAGGAGAAAAAGGGCCCAAGAGACTTAGTAAGCCAATGAAAGAGGATCCCAAAACTGCCCAAGATACGAATATAAAATTCCAATGAAAAAGAATCCTAAATGTAAAAAAGAGGCTAACGTCACAATCGGACGGAGAAGGAATCCTAAAAGTGCGCATGATTTTAACGTAATACAGTCGAACCTGTATTAAGCGGTCTCCCGCGGGTAATGGCGGGGTTACCGCTAAATACATGGTGACCGCTTGATACAGGTTTCACAGATGAGAAAACATACATAACGCCATTTTAAGCAATAATTGACCAATTAATGTACAGAATCTCTCTCAAAAATACTACTTCGTCTTTAATCGGATGAAAGAGAATGCTTAAGGAGGGCGACATACAAACGTATCAGTTTAATGAAAGCGAACCCTAAAAGTGGGTGACATTCGAATGTAAAAGTTGGTTTGTAATCGGATGAAAGCGAATCCTAAAAGTGAGCGACATTCAAACGTAACAGTCCAATGAAAGTGAATCCCGCTAAAAGGAAGCGTGATACGTGATGCTACACTTCTATATCTACTTTGCTCTTTTAGTCTTATAAGAAAAATAAAATAAAGCAGTTTGATAATAAATAACTTATGAGAGGTTTTAGTGTGTAGTATTGCTGAGTATGTGTGGAGGCGCGGTGGCCTCATGGTTAGTGCGCTCGACTCCGGATCGTGTGGTCCGGGTTCGAGCCTCGGCCGCGACAACAGGGACTTTAAGCAAACCGCGACGGCTACGGCAACGAGAACGTGGAAAAACAATAGATCTAATTGGCAGAACAATAGCCCAGCACGTGCGTTTTAAAACTTTGTACATTTCTTAGCCGTCCTTTGCAAAACAACAACGTGAAATCACCAAAATTTGCGTCGTCTGCGAAGCGAAACCGCGGCGGCAAATTATTTTAATTTACATTTGGAACTCAACGCTACTTTTATGCGTTATGTTGAGTTTGAGGTCTGGCGCCCTATGAGACGGTAAACACATGCAGCCATTTTCGAAATTCTAACTAAAAGTAGAAACTCATTTTTTAATCGACGTCTTCCGTGGCGTTGCCGTCCTGACTGCTTAAAGTCCCTAATA